ATTCGCCGATCCGGATGGCCGATTCGCCGATCCGGATCGATTTTTGAAAAGCCCGATCCGGGTCACCGATCCGGTTTTTAAACCATTCGGTTGTAACCTTAAAATGTAAAATCAGATGCACCTCAAAAATCTATTGAAAATATTATTTTAATGTTGAAAAAACTATCTAATCGATCATCTCAATATCGAGATGTATGAATATGAAAAAAAAAAGTTTGAGACCCAAAAATAGTGCATCTTGCAACACATTATCTAGACTGTCCATTTTCCAGCTTTTCATATATTTATAGATCTACTTAATTTTAATTATTTTTAAAATTTATAATTTTCTTGTTAGGTATGAAAATAAATTTTAAAATAATAATAAAAATTTTTACAACAAAATTATATGCTATATTAAAATTTTAAGATGCGCTTTAATTGGATCGTTTAAGGTTGCAACCTTATAGAAACCGCACCCTTTAGTTTTTAACTTTCTTTTTCTAAAAAAAGGTCAACAGAGGGATGTTAACTTATAGAATTGCGTCCCATGCGCCTCCAGTAGATTATCAATCTCCATTCTCCGCTGTCAATTCCTCCCATGGATGGAAGAGATGACACATGGCTCTCCACAAAGTCTATCGTTTTCCATGAATAGAGTGACATAACGCTTTACTATTTGTGAAAAGGAAATTTGGGGGCGCACACGAATCCGCTGATCGAGATGGCGATTCAGGATGGTACTGTCCTAAGACTAGGGAAAACCATATTTATAAGCTCTAGTTGCCCTTGTGTATAGTACTTTTCTCAAGGCTCAACTAGTTTGGGGCAATAATAAATCAGCCGGTCCGGCGCCTAGCCCCCACAAGAGCTCTTATGGCCAAGTTTGAGGGGGCCTGGCCACAGCTGCAATAGACTTGGCAATTTTTTTTTTTATTTTTTTTCGATTTTTTTTTTCATCTAGATTGGCCTGGCCTATGATAGGGCTAAAGCTATAGGCCAGGTTGAGCCTAAATCCAAGCTAGGGCTTGCTTGGCCCAATCAAGGCCAAGCTAGGGTCAATCCTACTCTAGCTTATATGGATTCGTATTTTTCTCATGGTTCAACTCGTTTTTTTTCTTGCCCAGGCTTATGTTTAAGAGATTAAGCACGTGAAATTATTTTTAAAAAATTATTTTTATGTGAAAAACTTCTTTTGTATGATAATGTGTGAAAATATTTTTACACTAATTAACCATCAATTGATCCGAAAAGATCCACTCAAACAAATTAATGCGAAAATATTCTCACAGATTGATGGAATTCTTTTGGATTAATGGAAATTTTCAAGTGGAAATATTTCACTTCGAAGAAAGTGTAAAGGGCGTAGGGAAATTTTTTTTATTTAAATCGAACTTTCGATTTTTTTAATTTTTTTTTAGGCTTTATCAGTTTACCCTTGTAAAATCCAGGTGTTAAGTTTACAAAGTACTTGAGTGAGATCCAGGTGTCAAGTTTACAAAGTCCGTGAGTGACATCCAGGTGGCTATTTTACAAAGTGCCAAAAACTTCACTCAACGAGACTTTGCGATGATGTAAAACTCATATTTCTCTGTACCAATTGGAAACCCAGCGTGATGTGACAGGGATAGTTGTAGTAACGATATAAAAGGATTGAGGATATTCTTGTCATTTCGCCTAAATAAGGCTGCGCCATCAAACAACATGCAGAAGATTCTTTTCCTATTTTCTACTGGATGGGTGAAAAGGCTAAGATCTTTGAGTAACATGAGGAGAGTACGTAGTAAAACGTAGTTTAATCAGATCAGATCACGTCATATCATACGATCAATTTTTAATTATTTTGGGTCGGCTATAAAAACTCGGATATATTATTCTATTATGTCATGACCGTATTTTAATTAAGATTATAAATCCGTATATATTTTTTCTGAGTAAATGATCTTATAAGATTTTTTTTTAATAATGTATAACCTTTTAAAAGATCATCATTAAGATTGATATGAATTTTAAAAAAAGTTATTACATTCGTGTAGAACTTAATTTTTTTATAAATCTGATTTTAATTTAACGGTGATTTTTTGATATCTTAAATACATTGATAGAGGAGGGCCGTATAGAATCATTTTTTTATTTTTCACTGTTTTTAATAAAAAAAACTTTTATTAATTTTTTATTTTTTAGGATAGTATACAGTAAGATTATTTAGTTTGATATAGGTATATTACAATTACTTATAATTAGCTTGGATGTGTTATAAAGTTTGAAAATATTTCTTTTAAACTTTGAACTTGGTTATTGAAACAAATACATTCACCCAATTTCATATCCATTAGATAAGATTAATTGTGAGCATAGTGTATAGAAGGTAAATAGTTTCATTACATACTTCTTTTTTTTTTTTCAAGCTTGTATTTAAACAATCCCGTACCTCTCTACTAAAGTTTCGTAAGTAAACATTCAAAATCAAAAGTTTGGCAGGATATTTATACGGTAGCTTTGCTGTTGCACTCATTGCATTGAGTTTGGTGAGGTTTTCGTTCAATACTTTGTTAGAAGGTGGGACGTCTTTTTTCGGTGGAGGATTTTTTTTTAGGGTAGAGAGGCAGACCTTGCTTTTGGGTTTGGGCTTTAATAATGAATGCATTTTCAGGCATATTAATATAGAGATCCAGCGAGACCTTCTATAGTTATGGAATGCTGGAAGAGACTTTATCTGATATGCCATACGAGGGGAGCCATCATTGAGACTATAACAGTTGAGGCAAAATAGAGTTTTAGGTGAAATGACAATGGAGCACGCGACGAACAGAAAATAGGATGGATGAAGCGTCATAAAGGTCGAGATGCTGTTTACAAAAACTTGGCGAGCCAACTCAGAGTCGTCGCCATCAAGTTAAGTCCGAGTATCTCGCGATTGGATAGTCTTATTAGATCTAAAATAAATTAAAAAAAATTATAAAACATCCACAAAAATAAAAATTTATAATATATTTTTTTATGTTTTCTATTATTTTAACAACGATGAGAAAGTGCTTTTGTCATGTTTAGCTAATTTTATATATATATATATATATATATATATATATATATTGGATTATTTCAAAAATACGTCCTTTACAAATTGATTTTTTAAAACCTATTTTTTCACTACTTTTTTTAATTTTATATTAAACATGTTTTTCCTTCTTTTTTTGAGATTCTTTTTTTAAACACTTTTTCCCTTTTCGAATTCTGCCGGACTCAGCACCCATAGACTGAGGTAAGTGGATTGGGGGCGACATTGTGTTTAGTGTGGTTAGTTTTGTTAATTAAAAAATATTAAATGAAATTGGCGCACTATTGTCCTCCTAAAACTGATGTCATTTAAATTATTTGTTTGTATTCCAAAGTCTAGTTTTACAACGCCATGCATTTTAATAGTGACATTGTTCCCTTATGGGCGAACAACCCAGAAATTGATCATGAATTAGATGGGGCTACGTAAATTTTGTAACTCAATTTAACTGGAGGGTATTTTCGTCCATACTCATGAAACCCGAAAAACAAGACGACACATCCAAATGGACCTCAAAAGTCGTTCACCAACCGTGAAGCTCACGTGGGACCCGTCTTCTTGTTTTTCGTACAGTAATATATAAACAACATATTAAAGCACGACACGTGTTGGTTATTTTGATGAAAGAGCCCTGATGCTTATGTCGAAGGACAAAGAGGTCCCGGAAAATCTCATTTTTGCGGTGAGTTCTAAGAACCAAAGGCCCCGTATCTCGATTAGCTGAATGCTCGACAACTGCGAGTCCATTGTCCACCACAAAGCTCAACTCTGTCTCTCTAGATAACCAATTCTCTCTCCTTCTCTCTCTCTACAGATAACCAAATCTCTCTATCTCTCTCCCACAGTCCCACCAAATCTCTCTCTCTCTCTCTTTAACACCATTTCTCTGATTCTTTGAAGTTCTCCCCAGTCTTCAACTGCTAACTCTTCTCTCTCCTAGCCCTCTCTCTCTAAATTAATCTCTAAGTTCTCAACTTACTTTCGAAAAAATCCCCTCATTTCATCTCTTGCACCCCTCTCTCTCTCTATCTCGTCCTGAACAATTCGTCTGATTCATGGCTCCCTGGATCTCAGCCCTCATATTCTCTCTATTCCTCCTCCCAAAACCCACCATCTCGTCCCCAAAATCCATAGCTTTACCCCTCCTCACCATGAAAACCCCTCTTCTTTCCCCTCCAGCTAAACCTCCAGCTAAACCCCCAGCTGAAAAGCCACCCAGCAAGCTTCTCTTCAACTATGGCGTAGGCCTCGTTGTGCCCTTATCTGTGGGATTCCCCCCTCAGAACGTCACTATGGTTATCGACACGGGCAGCGAGCTTTCATGGCTGAACTGTAAAGAAAGCCCTAATCAACCCACCTTCTATCCATTGAAATCCTCCTCTTACTCCCCTGTTATTTGCGGCTCTGAAACCTGCAGAACTAAAACCAGAGACTTTCCTGTACCCACCACCTGTGATCAAAAGAAGCTTTGCCATTTTGATTGGGCCTATGCTGATGCATCAACAAGTGAAGGAAACTTGGCATTTGAGAAGGTTTCTTTAGGGGATTCAACGCAATCCTCCATTGTTTTTGGGTGCGTTTTCTCTAGCTTTAGCAGCCCCCCGAATGCCCCAAAAACAACTGGAATGATGGGGCTTAATAGGGGGGCTCTTTCCTTTGTTTCTCAAATGGGGTTCCCTAAATTCTCTTACTGCATCTCTGATGCAACTTCCTCTGGTCTTTTGCTCTTCGGTGAAACCACGTTTACCATGACAATGCCATTAAACTACACACCTCTTGTTCAGATCCCCTTTCCATTGCCTTATTTCGACAGAGTCGCTTATTCGATTCAACTCGAAGGGATTAGGGTTTCAGGAAAGCTTCTTCAACTCCCTAAAGAGGTCTTTCTACCAGACCACACTGGAGCTGGACAAACAATGGTCGATTCAGGAACCCAATTCACTTTTCTTCTCGGTCCAGTTTATACAGCTCTGAAAAACGAGTTCTTGAAACAAACACAAGGGGTTCTGAGTGTTATCAATGACGAGAATTTTGTTTATCAAGGGGCCTTGGATTTGTGTTATACTCATCCTCCACTAAAGCCCCTTCCTGTTTTACCAGAGGTGGTTTTGGTCTTCAGAGGAGCTGAAATGGTGGTCTCGGGTAATGTTCTATTGTACAAGACTGGTTTAGAGAGAGAAAGAAATGACGTGTATTGCCTTAGTTTTGGGAATTCAGATTTGGTGCCTGTTGAGGCGTATATAATAGGGCACCATCATCAGAGGAACCATTGGGTTGAGTATGACTTGGAGAAGGCCAGGCTAGGGTTCGCGCCAGCTAGGTGCGACCTGGCTCGCCAGATGGTCCGCTAGAGTTTGGGTTCAGGCCTTGCTTCGGTCCGGTTTGGTTTTTTTTCTTTTTCTTTTTCTTAGGGTCATGGAGTCATGGGGTCGAGTGTTTTGTTGGCAGGTCACCGTCATGTTCCTTCAACTCACCCATCTCCCTCTCTATCTTTATCTTAACTCTCTCTCTTAACTCTCGCTCACTCCGTTTAATTCCTATCTCGACCTCTTAGGTTACCATTTATGGCTTAAACTCCTCTCTCTCTCTCTCTCTCTCTCTCTACTACCTCTCTCATATGTTAGTTATTGCTCTTTTCAACTCAATTTCACTCTACACACATTTTGGCTCTTTTATGTCACCCTCATTGATATCTTAATTGTTGATAAAACAGAATGAAAAAACAAGACAAGATACATGTAGTCCATTTCAATTAATTGGAAAACCGTTTGACGGTAATAATCAGTATTTGCCTCCTCTTCAACTTCTCTTGACCCGAAAATTGCAAAGTTACTCTCTTTCACACTTTAGTGTTTGAGGTTAAATTACTCTTTTACCCTTCAATCAATCTTTTCTTGATCATCCATTCTCTTCTCTCTCTCTTCTGCCTCTCTGTTTCCATCCATGATCATCGGGTAGCGATCTGTTAGTGCTATTCCGGTTCTGGTATTCGAATATTGAAGGATTATTATCATTTTGCCCTTGGTATACCATCTCTGACTGAGTTAAGCCAATGACGTGGCTTTAAATTTCCATTTTGCCCCTCCTTGGATTTTGATTTTATCTCGAGCCACTGCTGGATGAGTTCCATGTTTCTAGGCCCCCTAGGGTTAGAGGTGTAGTGTATAGAAGTAGCCCTAGATTTGGCTAATGCTTGTACTTATTTGAGGATATTTTAATCACCTTCGATACTTATTTGTGATTTCCTTGGTTCTTGTTTTGTTTTTTGTTTTTTTGGTTTTTTTTTATACTCTCTTTTGTCCTATGGAATGTTCAAGAGGCGTACCGGGTATGTATGACGTTATTACTTTTGTTTTGAATGAGGTCTATATAGGACTTAGGCTTTATGAAAATAAAATAAAACCTCATCTCAAATAGTCTTATGGAAGGCACTTACAGCAAAGAAAATTTTCATAATGGCTTTAAAATCAATTTTCATCGATAATAAAATTTGAAATTGCAATAGTATAAGTCTGATGGATCTGTAAACACTTATTTTTTGTATAAAATAGACGGTTTAGATAATTTGTTATAATATACATTATTTTTAGAGTTTAAAATTTTAATTTCTTTCGCAACCATAATCTTAAAGCCGAGATGATCGATGTAAAAGTTTTCGAATGCTTGAATTTTCAATTTTTTGAAGTGAAACCTCAATTCCTATCAAACCACTTTCTGTTTTGTTTTTCTACTTGCCAAAAGATTTCTTACTCCTGGGAGAGCATATTATCTATTTATTCCTTTAGGCAAAACCTGGTCTTGGTGTATTATTAGTATTTATTCCTTCAAACAAAACCCGATCTTGGTGTATTATTAGTGCCCTAAATTTTTGAGATGTGACACCTTCGGCTTATCAATTAACTCTAAAATGAACACAATTTAACTCTAAAATAAAAGTTCATATGTACCATGCGTGTCAATAAAGAAAACATCCCAAGGATGAACAAAGACCATCCAAGTATATGAAGGGTGATATGTGAGTATTAAAGAACTCAAAAATCTAAACCATTGTTTTTTGAAAATAAGCATCTCAAATCAAAATAATCCTCCCAAGTAGGATATTTGCCCGAGGGATTAAGTACCCATGATCTTGTGGGATCATACTATACACGCTCCTTTCTCATTTTCTTGATCCTATCATATAGGTTTTCTTTGTTTACTATAAAGTTTGTATATTTTGAAGGGAACATCTTGCTAGACATGTCAAAAAATGTCCCTGGAGTTCTGTCAAAGATAATCAGTGATCTTTAATCAGATTGAGAGAGAGAGAGAGAGAGTAAATGCTCCTTAAAAAATCTGCAACTCTCACATGTGATACTGGAGAGAATCAATGACCCTTAATCATTTTGCAAGGCTCACAATTGATACTAGAAAAAGAGAGGATCCTTTATGTACCCCACAAAGATAATGATAATATATTGGGGTTCCCTATAAGAATGCTTGTTGTGAGTGCAACTGAATTAGTTGGGAGGTCCATGTGGCCGTTAGATCCAGCACACTGAATCCATAAAGGAAAGGTTAAAGGCTATTAGATCCCTGCCTCCAACTACCGATCCTTCTGGATGTTTTCCCCTGATTAATTGATTTGTTTGTATCAATGGTTTAAAAAATGGATCGGTGACTCGGATCGAGCACCCAAGAAATCGATTCAGATCGGCGAATCGGCGATCCGGATCGGAAATCGGGTGAATCGATCAGAATAAAGTTTCAAAAAATCCGAAAAAATTATTAAAATTCATTATAAATATTGTTTTTTAGGAATTCAATAAGAAATGAGGGTACTCCATTAAGAATTTTCATGTTTTTGAATGAATATGCGAATATTGATATGTTCTTTCCCTGCATGAACCGCCATTCAGCATTTGATTTACATCACATAAAAAGATAAACATAGAATTATCATGGAATAAGTATATCAACATACATGGACTACAATAAAGCATAAAATTAGTATCATACGATCGAAAAATAAAATGATAGACGACGTTGTTGTTCTTCTTGGTCACGCTGATGCCATTGATTGAATTCGTTTGACAATTCATTGATTCGATCTAAAAACGAATCATCGATATTAGCAGGCGTCTGACTATTCCCAAATCCCTAAGTGTTAGTGTTTTGTTGTGTTCCCAATCCAAAATCCCCGAAGCTTGTCCATCCTTCATGCTCACCTGCACTGTCGTGCTCATCCCTATACTGTTGCTGTTGGGACTCGATATGTGAATAATATGGCTGGGATAGGGTGGCCTCAGAATCATCATCTCTCTCATTTTCTCTTAGACCCCCTTCCCACTCTCCCTCATTAGGTGCAATATCACCGACATATTGTGGATACGTTGGCTGGCTGCTTCCTCTTTCATGCTGCTCATCACTTTCTTCAATATCTTCATCACCGATAGCCTCAAGGAACGCTCTCTTGTGCAACACTAGCTCCTCCTCTTCTACTACCCATTGGTCTGCCGTGTCTGTGATAAATATTGTGTCTAAGTCTATCGGCCCATAGTCTTCAAGCTTCCTTCTTATTTGTCGCTCTCTGAGGTTTAAATTATAATGAACGTAGACTAGTTTATGAAGCTTCTCATAAGCGAGTCGATTCCTCCTAGTAGTGTGCAACCATTGGAACGTACTCCAGTTGCGCTCACAGCCAGTAGCAGAACATGTCTGGGAGAGCACCTTGATTGCTATCCTCTTTAGGTGAGGTGCATCAATACCATATATCTCCCACCATTCAGCTGGATTAAAATGTAAAAAGCATTGTAAGGGCAAGAACAATTCATAAGATTAAATATATGAATGAACAAAATATTAGCGAGGGGATAACCTGGATCCATCATAGTTCCAGAATTTCTAACAAGTCTAGTTCCGAAGGATTCTATAGCATCCCTATACATAGCAAGCTAAAACAAATATATTACTTTTTAGTGCATTATTCCTCACAAATATAACAACTCAATGAAGTTTTTATCCAAACATTAAATAATACCTCTTGTATTGCTGCTACTTGATTTCGATGGCTTCTCTCCAACCTTGCAATAATGTATCTGACCCCTTCCATAATCTTGTGGGGTTGTTTAGGTGTCAAATAGAAAAATTTTGGGTTGAAGTAGTAACCTAAAAAATATATAGGTAGAAAAATGTCATTTACAATTTTATAAAAAAATGATTTAAACTTAAACATTGTAATGATATAAATATATATTTACCAGCATAATGAATTGGACGTCCAAATTTGGTGTTCCACCTCTTTTCTATAATCCCGATCACTTTGCTAGCAAAATTACACTTCTCCCTAATAGCTGATTTCGCCCTCTTAATACCTTCATAAAGGATACTCATGGTAGCTTTCTTGTCAGCATCTACCATTCTTAACACCGTGACCAAAGGGGTAGTGGCCTCTTCAACACGGGAACATCGAGACCAGAACTGCCTATTTGAGATTATGTTGTCCACTTTTATACCGGTACTGGACTTCGAGAGGCGGTCATTTAACCACTCTTCACAAGTAAACAATCTCTTTAATGCACCTTCAGATTCTCGAATGGAGTCCACAGCTAAGTAATCGGTCGCAAAGCGAGTTATGGCAGGCTTGATTATCTCTTTTTTCTTAGAGTGTTCTCTAAACAGAAATAAAATTTTAGAGTGGTTGTATATAAATCTCGATACCAACCTTGTTTCCTTTAGAGTCTCCTTCACAATTTTGATCTCATCTATCTCCTCTAACATAAGATCGATGCTGTGTGCAGCACACGGGGTCCATACTAGATGCTTCCTCTTATCCATCAACTTGCTGCCCGCAGAAACACATACACGCGCATTGTCCGTAATAAACTGGACTACATGCTTATCTCCCACCTTCTCGACTATTTGATCATATAGTCGTACGTAGAAGTTTGCATCCTTCTTCGTCCCTGATATGTCTTTGCTAGACAAAAAAGCTGTACCTTTTGGGGAATAGGCCAAAAAGTTTAAAAACTCATTTTTGCTAACTTTATTCAACCAACCATCACTCATGAGAGTAATTCCTTTCCTTGGCGAACTCTGTTTATATTCTTCAATCCACTTTTTAACTTCCTCTACCTCTTCATCTAATATTGGCCCACTGAGCTCATGTGCCATCGAGGTTTTACCCCGGGCTCGACTCTCTGGATTGCACTGACCATAGGTGAAAAATATGGGCTATTGGCTGCATCAAAGGGAATCCCTTTATCGTAGAACCATTTACCAACATATCTCCCTAACATGTTTCTTGTACCTTTAACCATGCCTTTTAGGGTCATCTGTTGTGACTTAGGCTTTGAGAGAAATGGGTCTTTACGACCATGACCTGCAATACTGGCACTCTTAGGTAGCCTAGAAACAATTTCTTCAACAACTGATTCTCCTTGATACATATTGCCACCAACCCCTCCATACATATTTGAGCTGGGCCCGCCATACATGCTCGAGCTGGGCCCGTCATGCATATCTGAACTAGGCCCACCATTCATATCTAAGCTAGGCCCACCATGCATGTCTGAGCTAGACTCACCGGGCATTCTAAACCCACGTTCCCTCTGATATTGTTCATGTAAACTCAATCTTGTGGCCATGTCCAGCTCATTATTATATTGCTCTTCCAGGTCATTATTATATTGCTATTTTGTATCATTCCTGCTTGATGATGTATATAAACTAGCTATCTCCTCATTCATCCTATGTTTGGCAATTTTTTTACCTTTGTTAGCATTAAGAATTGCCGCTATTTGTTTTTTTACATTACTAGGGACACTAGCGTATGCAGAAACTTCTCTCTTAACCCCTGCCAAGTGTTGCTTGAACCTATGTACCCACTACTTATCACTCTTTGACAGTAATTACAAATAATTTTGTCTTTGACAGTAATTACAAATAATTTTGTCTTTGACAATAATTACAAATAATTTTGTCTTTCTTGTTGGGATCAAGTCTGATCCCATGTTGCCATGCATGGTCTCCAGCAGATCTTGGCATGATTCAACTGTTTTAAGATGTAAAAAGTATAAAATTAACCTGACAGTTCAAAAAGAAAAATAATCACCATGTGTAGTGATAATATGTTGCGGTAGTTCATGTAGTCATATTTGTTGTTATTTGTTATTGCAAAATACCTTTATTGACAATAATATTTTCGTACATATCAATTACAAACATTCAGAATAATATAATACAAAATGCAAGCTCCAAACATGGC